GTAACATCCCTGCAGGGTAGGGGGTGTGAACCCTGTAACGATCAGACTAGCGAGAGTGCATAGGGTAACAGAGGGAGGGTTAGTAAGGGTGGAGAGGATAACCGAGTTTTAATAAGGGCGGTGAGGAGAGCTAAAGGTTACTGAATAAATTCGCTTGTCAGAACTAAAAGGGAGTTTGTCAGAGGTGGGACCGTCAGGGAGGACGGTGTCTCAGCTAAGAGAATGCCTACTTAGCTTGGCTTCAAAGTGATTTAGTGGATATTATTATAATCAAGGGGGAAGCGCTAAACCCGTAGGATTATACAGCACCCAGGGGGGATGTGGAAGGCATTCAGGCTTAATTCGGGGAACTGGAGCACAGATCCAATTCCCTAAATCAAGAGCCCCTCACCAACATCAAGGAACCTTCCATGAGGGGATTTAGTGGATAGTTTGAATTAGTTTAGGGATAACTATCATTGGGAAGTGCTAAACCAGTAGGGATTATACAGCTGTGTGTGTGGAGCGGGGGAGAGTTCGTGGATGGAAGGTATTCAGGCTCAGTTCCGGGAACTGAAGCACAGATCTAGTTCCCCAGATCAAGATCCCTTCACCAGTATCAAGCCCCCCCCCCCCCGCATGAGAGGTGATACGTCTCAAGTTTGAAGAAACTAGGAAATCATGGTGACTGCATTTCGCTACCTCTGAGTCACTGCCTTACAAAAACCTGCCACACACTGCACTGGTCCTTTCACCTGCCCCTGACGAACAGGGGGGATGACGGGGACGGGAAGGAATAAAATACCTATCGCTCAGCAACAGACATACATCTGGTTCACAACTCAAGAACTAATTAAATAGATTTTAACTTTCCCACCCGGGGGTGGGCATGGGTTTACCTGTATTATTATTATTATAATCAAGGGGGAAGCGCTAAACCCGTAGGATTATACAGCAGGGTTTACCTGTAGAGAGTTCCGGGGGTCAACGCCCCCGCGGCCCGGTCTGTGACCAGGCCTCCTTAGGTCAGTGTCCCAGGATGCGACCCACACCAGTCGACTAACACACAGGTACCCATTTTACTGATGGGGAACATAGACAACAGGTGGAAAGAAACACGTCCAATGTTTCTACTCTGGCTGGGAATCGAACCCAGGCCCTCACCGTGTGAAGCGAGAGCGTTAACCACCAGGCCACCAGAGCCCTGTCACTGTACAGAAGGAAAAAAAAAGTTTAGTCAAGTACTGTGCACGATGATCACTGGTGCACCCAGCAAGCCTCTACTGGCATTCACTGCGTCGAGACCACTTGCCGATTGATTTCAAAATATTTACACTGCTGTAAACTTCACAAAGCGGCCGGGATTGTTAATGGAGTGCGTAGGTTTCAATCTGAAAATTTTCTAAAAGCTTTCTTGTTGTGACCGCTGCCTCTGAGCGGCTTAAAATTGTTAATGGCTGGCGCGTTCTATGGAAAAATTGTCACCCCCCCCCATAACCTGTTCACGTAGGTTGATTATAGGGAGTGAATAAAAACTAAGCTCTAAACCCACAAGGGTCATGCAGTGCTGCAGTGTAGGGCGTGGTGAAGGTTTAGTATTTTATCCAAGACTAGCGAGGGTTGGAGAGTAACAGGAGTGCTATAGGGAGGCGAGCGCGCTATAGGGAGGCGAGTGCGCGCTATAGGGAGGCGAGTGCGCGCTATAGGGAGAAGTGCGCGCTATAGGGAGGAGTGCGCGCTATAGGGAGGAGTGCGCGCTATAGGGAGGAGAGAGTGCTATAGGGAGGAGAGTGCGCTATAGGGAGGAGAGAGTGCTATAGGGAGGAGAGAGTGCTATAGGGAGGAGTGCGCGCTATAGGGAGGAGAGTGCGCTATAGGGAGGAGAGTGCGCTATAGGGAGGAGAGTGCGCTATAGGGAGGAGTGCGCGCTATAGGGAGGAGAGAGTGCTATAGGAAGTATAATTAAAAGTTGCGAAATTAAATTGTCGCTGTATATGGGGTGACCAGAGACTTAAATTCTTTAAAAGTCTTTCCTGATCGCCTCAAGTTCATTAGGGATGAACAGTAAATCCGTAGAGGGTCATAACGCCCAGGAAATAAGAGATTCTAGGAGTTGGTGCACATGTTCAATTTCTTGTATGATCCCCTCACCAGTCTGAAGGATTATAATCTAAATAAGCTATAAACCCATAAGGGTCATACAACGCTGACCAACCTGAAGGAACCTGCCTTGAGGGGAAGGTTGATTAGAACTTCACGACTCTTCCAAATGCTGTCAGATTCTCAGCACTGGCAAACACTATTAAATGTAATTACGTACAAGCGACAAATTAGCCACTTGGGAATGGGGTTGAAGATTTAGCTCGAGGCCTTTAGCACTGTTCCTTGCGCTTCTGAGGAAGCACAGGCAACAAGGCTAAAGGCATTTATAATTGACAAGAGTAACTCAAGGCCTTCAGCCTTGTTCCCTGTGCTTCAGGAGCGCAGGTAAGTGTGGAAAGCCTAGATCTAATTTCTCCTAGTTATAATCTAACTGCGCTAAACCCACAAGGGTCATACAGCTCGGTCATTAGGGGCTATTTTTACTTTCACTATTCTAGCGTGCACTGTGTAATATTGGTTGGGGAAGGGTTTAACCCCTATTGTGAAGGGGGGGGGGGGACGCTGAGTACGGGAGAATGTAAACATCGAAGAGCAAGGGAAACTGCTTTAAGCAATATTTACCTAAATTCCCTTCAAACCCCGCCTCCCCTGCCCCTCAGAGTTGCACTGTGCCCACGAGTTGCACATGATCCTCGTGCCATAAGTAGCACGTACATTGGTCACCGTGCACATGGTCACCGTGCACATGGTCACCGTGCACATGGTCACCGTGCACATGGTCACCGTGCACATGGTCACCGTGCGTGTTATATGAATTCCGTACAACAAAACGTAAGGTACAGTTCCTTTGACATTTCCCAGTTAAACTCTACGGCTTATGTCACGGAAGCGCTAAGCCCGATGGTTATGAGTAAAAATTAAGGACGGACTTTTATATTTCCATCCAGGCTTAGGAATTTAGTAATACTAATTACTCTAGGCAATTTTATATAATACCTCAGTGTTAACGGGTGTGGTTTTATACGTACGAAGGAAAACTGGAAGAGTATTATTATTCCATTATAATCACGAGCGTTCTATTCCGTGGATCAACAGCGCCTGGGCGGGGCATCATGAAATTTTGTCTGAATTATTTGGCTAAAATTAATCGGCACAAATCAATTCCCTATTCAAGCCCCTCCCCCACCCCCGACACTAAAGTACGCTATTCTTCGGGTATACTGTAAGCGGCTAATAAACTTTTGTTGGTGGTAGTTACAGGCACTAAAGTTATCTTTCAAGACCAAGAGCTAATCTGGTTAACAGCGGTGTTGGTCGTCTGCCAGATGGGGGTCATCATTACAAAGCAATAATACCATTTCAAGCGACTAAAATTTCCTGGCCATCAAAACCCGCTTTATCGTAACTCCTGGAGGGAAGAATTCTTAAAATGCTATAAAAAGCTCTAAACCCAAGAATAGGAGGGGGAGAGGGGTAAGGTGGGGGTAAGGTGGGGGTAAGGTGGGGGTAAGGTGGGGGTAAGGTGGGGGTAAGGTGGGGGTAAGGTGGGGGTAAGGTGGGGGTAAGGTGGGGGTAAGGTGGGGGTAAGGTGGGGGTAAGGTGGGGGTAAGGGGGGAAGGTGGGGGTAAGGTGGGGGTAAGGTGGGGGTAAGGTGGGGGTAAGGTGGGGGGTAAGGTGGGGGTAGGGGTAGGTGGGGGGTAAGGTGGGGGGTAAGGTGGGGGGTAAGGTGGGGGGTAAGGTGGGGGGTAAGAGATTGTAGAACTCAAGGATGGCGCCTTGGGAGAAAAAACTTCTCATCCTCTGCTTCAAACCCGGGTGCTTCGTATTACCAGTCGTAGCCAAGAGCTATCATCTTTCCCAATTATTATAATCAAGGGGGAAGCGCTAAACCCGTAGGATTATACAGCGCCCAGGGGGGGGGAGGATGTGGAAGGCATTCAGGCTTAATTCGGGGAACTGGAGCACAGATTTAATTCCCTAAATCTGGAGCCCCTCACCAACATCAAGGAACCTTCCATGAGGGGATATCTTTCCCAAAAGCGCTGTAATACTTACGGGTTCGCGCTTCGATCCCCTCGAGTAACACTGGACACAACTGGTCATCCGTCACTTAAATATTTCCGCCTTAAAGACATTAAAATGAAAAATTGTGAACCACAGGGATGGGAAGTTAATTATGATACAAGAAAAATTTCCGAGGGTCATACAGCGCAATCAAGGAGAAGCGCTAAACCCATAGGATTATACAGCGTCTGTGGGTGGAATGAAGGTGTATGCTTAATTCAGGGAACTGAAGCACAGACCCAGTTCCCTAGATCAAGAGCCCCTCACCAGCGTCAAGGAACCTGAGTGAAGCAGTCATAGCCGAACACTAAACCCACAAGGGTCATGAAACTGCCCCGCAGCCTCTGCCTTTTTTCCGGCGCTACAATAGGCTAAAATTTATTGTCCAAATCTTCACCTGCCATCTCACTGCCAGTTTCACTCACCATTTTGTGCAGTTTTAATAGGTTTATTTAATCCAGGCTAAACTTTGAAAATTAAGAACCAAATTTTAGCTTGGGAACAGACTAAATTCTGCAGGAACGAGACTGCCACGAAATTAGGCTGCAAAAATCACAAAAACAGCTCAATGAAACCAATAATGGTCAAACTATACATCTGTTGCAGATATATAACTACTCTTAATCTGCAAGAGTTAGTTTTAGAGGATCATTTTTGTAGTTTCTTTTAAGACTTCAATAGCAGTAAAACTTCAGTTTGCAAGATTTATTCTAAGCATAAATACATGGCTGCTTTTTCTACCTGAAAGACATTCCGTCGATACAGTAGCCAATAAGCTGTGCCTTCACCCCCTCCTCTATACCCCCAAGTTAGTGGGTATGAAAGTTTGAAAAAATAATTAAAAGTTTTACATAGTAATTTTAATAAAATTTATTAATTATCTAGGTACATCACTTAACTACTAAGGAAAGCCATGTCTTGTCCATACCAGGAGGCTGTGGATAAATAGTATTAAGATCCCAGGAATTCACTTCCTGCAGTGACCGCTGCTGCTGCTGCTGCAGCAGATATGGTGGGAAGACATTCAAATTATTGTGTTATAGGGAAAACTTTGGGCAGTGACAGTCGCAACTGGGTTGAAGGGAGAGAATCCCATCTCTGTAGACTTTCCTTCCAAAGTGCGCTTCCTGAACTCCCTGGAAGTAATGATTAAAAATTATACACGACTTGGAGAAAAATAGCTTCTGGGTCTTAATACCGACAACGTCACAAGCCATTATGTTATGGTTATTAATCTTCAGTATTTTAGGAAAGTGGGAAGGGCTACGAGAAAATTTTAGTTTAACCCATTTTTAAGTTCACTTACGGTGAGGCTGGTGACGTCAGATCTACATGGTGGGTGGTAACGTTGAGAGAGGTCGAGTCAGTGATGCTGGCTACTGCAGAATCTCGACTTGTGTTTACCTGTAATCGAAGTGATATTTAGATGTTAGTTTAAATAAGACTTCAGGAAATCTAAAATTACACTAAGCCAACGTTTAATAAAATGTTCAGAACAGGTTTAAAAGCTGTGCATTAAAATCTTACGCTGACCTCCACTTTACTGTCATCAGTTTTAAAGAAAGGGTTCTCGAAGTTCTGAGAGAGGCTGGGGTTTGTGACTACGTATGGCTGGCTGGGTGCTGGGCTACTGGCGGTGCTGCTGCTGCCGCCACTTACAATAGCTTCATCGTTCATTACCCCGAAGGCCGGATTTACAAAGCGGAACATTTGGTTGGAACTGTAAAATGTGTTAAACTATAGCACGAAGGAAAACTGGGGACGAGTAACTGATCTGATACACATTACCAGTTTCAATTCCTTGCACTTATGGAAAGTGCATTTTCTAGCAAGACCATTTATCAAGTGTTGGCACAGATCTACTTACCTTCCACTCTTTCCCTTCCAGATGGTGAATGGCTTCTTGTACCAATAGCACCCAGCACCAACAGCAAAACATACTACCAGCACTATAACCACTATGATAAACGAGTAGTCGGGTGACGGCGCTGTACTTCTTGCAGTGACTAAACTCTCCTCGCAGCGCAAGCCGCTGTAACCATCGCTACATCTGGAGGACATTAACTAAATCAAATCTCGAGATTTGGTAATTCCTACGAAAACAAGTTACGAACAGTTAGTGTTCAGTTTTAGGTTTGAATTCCAATTTCTAAATTTTAATGTTGCACTTCATGGTATAGCAATATTATGACAAATTTATAAGTTTAGCATTTCTAACCTGCAAATAAAATCTGCATCTGACAGCGCCTCGCACTTGCTTCCGGCATTACAGGGATTCCCTCGACAGCCTTTCAACTGAAAAGGTAAAGTTAAAGTTCCAGCTTTATAAATAAAGTATAGATGGTCGTTTCATCTAGCAAAAGGCCGGTCAGGTATCCTGATACCAAACATTTAGCAACTCACCTCTATACAGCCTCCAGATATTCCTGCTGTTGCAGTTTTGAAGCCAAGTGGACAAAGGCATTTTGTCGTGTTGCTTACAGAAGTACACAAATGTTTACAAGAGGCAGAAGTGCATGCGTCTGCATCTGTAATCAGGAAGTTCCATACATCTAGACAATAAGAATTTGGAAATTAAATGCTAGTTGCTATTGCTGCAAGTGTTACACTAGAGATGAAGAGGCTGTAAGATCAATTAATGATAAATTTTTAGTTTCAAGTAATTTTCAATGAAGTACACTAAAAAGCAAAAAACTAACGAGTACTGTAGTTTTAGAATAAGGTCAAAATTTAAAATTAGTCTAGATTCTGCCAAAAATCGACGGGGGGGGGGGTGAACAAGCTAGTAAATTACTAAACATCCTAGAAACATCACAAGCTACCTCACATTAAGTTAAAATTTTAATACTGTAAACAGTCCAAACTAGTGGGCAATAATTTCACAATATTGTTTCAGATACAAAGTTTTGCTGCTGGAAATTAAAAATGGCACCTACCGGTTTTAAGAGGTGGAGATAGTGCCACGAGACTGGTGGCAGTGGAGCTCATGTGTTTCACTTCACAGGTAGAAGAGTTGTACTTGAGACATCGAACTAATTCATGTCTCTTAGGGTTTATCCACACCACCCAGTCACCCATCAAGGAAAGACCAACGGGGGAATATACCTGGTGAAGAGAAATTTAACGTTTATTCTGCAATTTTGCTACTTTATATGCACAGTTTTTGGACAAATATTTACCTTGTCTTTCTGGACGAGGTGGTGTTTGCTTCCATCCCAGATAATGGACTCTACTGTGCCAAGAACCAAGTCTGTCCAGTAGACGCGATTCTTTATCTCGTCCACAGCCACAGACCCACAGCGCACCACCTGTGGAAGGTTAGTTACCCATGTAAAGCTAAGGATTGTAATATTAAAATTATGAAAGTCTAACAAGGGTACCGTTCACTGGGGAGGGGATGTACTGGATAATTTTAGGGAAGCCTTAGTGAAGGTATGGAAGAAAAACTTTAGAATTTGGCAGATTAAGTTCCTACAGGAAAATCTTAAGCTTAAGACAGCCGTTTTAAATTTAATAAGCAATATTTTAATACATTCTATAAATTGGAGTTACACCCATGTATCCAAAAATCCAATTTTGCAGTTTGCAACAAATATGCAAGACCAATAATTTCGTGTTATCTAAGGCTGCCTAGGTGTTACTGGGGGAACATTGTATATTTAGATACTGTATCTGCCGCTTTGAAGTTTTGCCTACGGAATATTTGGCTATCTTGGCAATCATATGAACACAGCAAGTAATAAACTAGCTTCAATTAATTCAGATTTAATTTGCTTCAGGTATCCGTAATTAAAAAAAAGTATAAAAAAGGCTTAAGCTGTGGGTGAAGAGATTTCAATATATGACAGTACTGGTGCAAACCCTTGTATACCCGATGTAGCAAAAGTTTAGAATTTTTGGCATACAGATAGTGCCATCCTGCTTTAGTAGATAAATCTGGATGGCTGGCTCCCAAATGACATTCAATACAAGTGTAATCCCTTCGAAATTTTTTCTAATTAGTCTCAGGAAATAGTTTATCAGAGTACCTTTGCTGCATATAAAAAATACGTAAAATGAGCAATGTTTTCTTTATTTTATCATAAGATATAATTCCTTACCTTACGTTCCCTGACTACTGTCAGGTCTGAACCATCGACAGACGAAGAGAGAATCTGGGCATGATCTTTCTCAAAGTTCAGGAAGTTCGCACAGAAGAAAAGTTTCCCGTGGTTCACTGCGAGGCTGGTTGATGGAATTTCTTTATCCAAGACACTGGTCACCACGCTACAGTTTCCACCCATGTTGCACACCTAGTCACGTGACAATGTTAAGATATATTACTTTTTTTGAAGCAGAATTTAGAGAAGTTTTTAAGCTATTAATCTTTATAACACTACTTGCCATTATCAAGGAATGTCCCCACGAGGTTGAATTTTCGCCAATATCCCTCTCCACAACTCTGGGTCCCTCGCTTGACTTCGTAGTGCCGAAGAACTCGGAGAAATAAATGTTCTTGTTTCTGGGGTCGTACGAGAGACCCTGAGGGAAGCTTCTCTTGTCTAGGAAGACCTTCCTCTCCATGTTGCCACCTTCACCCATAAGCAAGTTAATAGGCACCATGCCAATTACACCTCTGTTCTCTATGGACAGAATACACATGCTTAATTAGTTGCTAGGAAGATGTAAGGTTAAGCTTTTAGTCTAATCAATTATAGCATATGCAGCAAATAATTCAGCATCTTTCACTTACTGTCAGCGTAGATCACGTGATTGTCATTATCAGCATCTAAGGAGTCCATTGCCAGGTCAAGAGGCATAACCATTTTTCTTTTAATCTGGTATGTGTGAGATACGACCATCATTCCACCAGTTCTTACCACGACCACCATATCTTCGCCCTCTGTGAACGGCACAACGTTCATGTGAATTTTACCGTAATTTTACCTTAAAGCTAGTGATTTAAGCTGTTAATGTAACTAAAAGTTTAAACTATACTTTGTTAATTCTTAGCAAAGTTGTGAATAAGCTAACTAGTTATACAGTACTGACAATACTACCCAATGTGTGAATTTTAAACTAGGGGAAATGGAAAGCTTTTAAATTATAAGCTAAAAGTTAATCACGCAAGTCATTTTAATTTCTCGCCGAGTTCTTTGCTGCTTGTACAGTGCGTACAGCAGTTAAGTGTACATTTCGAACACTTAAAAATGGTTATCAGTCTAGTTCAAACAAGCTTTCTTAAACCTGAGAATTCAGTTTTATCCCCTTCCATCTTGTCTGAAGGGCGAGACTACTGTCAAATTTGACGTATGGTAAGCAACAAGCACAGCCCAGAAAGCATTTGCGATGGAAATTAATCTTTGAAATACCTCTGGTAAATTGTTCCCGTAGACTGACATTCGTAAGCAGGACTGATTATTATAATCAAAAGTAGCGCTAGTAAGCAGTGCCGATACACTTCAGTTTTCTCGTTCCTTTAGAATTAAAGAAAGGTTTCTATTCAATGAAGGTCTGGTCCAATTAAATCTCCGCGGCACCATCTTAGAATTTAGTTTATGATTAAAGCGAATTTAACTTTCCAGAGGTTTGGCCGAAATTTTATCAGTAAAGTTTTGACAAGGTTACCGGTTGGATAGAGGAACTACAGTAAGCAGTGATTCCTAAACTGACGCACTGGACAACTGTCAAACTATTTACCCTATATACAGGGTGTTGTCTTGAGAAGACTTTAGGATTAACTACACAGGTCGAGTTTGAAGATCTTAGTTAAGGTCCTAATATTCATAATCTAAATTACTTTACATAAATTTGTGTATACGAGTTACATGGACATTCAGGGAATTGGAGTACATAACTAATAACCTAATGTATTCAACAGTAAGAATCCTCTTATCCCTTGCGGGTTGGAGCACACGTACCTGTCTAGGATCGTAGAGCACTTTGGTAGATTAGACAGTCTTCACTGCCCCAAGTTACTTGCATTTTCTTACACTAATATAGAAACTACATTTCACTTACTCTCAGGCTTACAGGTTCTGTTGTCTGCTTGAAGGCTGTAGCCCCTGGCACAGGCACAGACAGCCACTCTCCTGCCTTTCACACAAGTGTGACTACAGTCTTCCTCTCTGCATTCTGCGTCATCCTGCAAACACTTTTTATTCTTATACCATGCTTAAAAGATGCAACACTAGATTTAATATAAATCTAGATGGGTAAAAACTTGTGCGTGTGTGTAGTTGAGCACTAGTGAATCAGTTTTATTCCAGAAAATGAGGCTGTGACTAGACATTCAGCAGCATCCTTATAATACTTTCTGGCCTTAGTGGCCAAATCTGTCCCATCTTTAATATCGCCAACCACTTTGATACCCATCAGTTACACAAACCGAGTCAACACGGGTTTAGAGAAGGTCGCTCCAACTACTGGACTAACAAGGTCCTGGATGCTAGAGGATAAATTGCAGATGTGTACACACTTTGCAAAATCCTTCGGCAAGTGCGACCATTAATTGCACAAAATGCGTGATAAAGGAATAAGAGGAAAAGTTGATAGATGGATCTCTAACTTCCTAGCAAACAGAACAAATAGTAAGGAGTGAAGGCTGAGGCAGCTACGGTGAAAAGCTGTTAAAAGCATATTACTCTTGCTATTCCTCGTATCAGATAGGAGCCATGGCTTCGTATCTTCTTTTGTGGAACACTTGTCATGACTGACCTCCATCGAAGACGCCGCAAAACTCTGCGGACATCAACCAAATCTTCAAATGGGGACACTCAAAACTATGAAGGTCAATGAAGAGAAATTTCAGCTGCTTGTATGGAAAACAAACTTTAAACTATTTGGCTATAATCATACAAGAGCGAAGAAATAATGTGAAGGACTGAGTGGCAAGTTTCAGGATCTCACCTTCAAAGACAAGTATCTACCGCATCTGCTAGAAAAGTGATAGGATGTATAATAACCTTCAAAACCAGGGACCCCAAGCCCATGATCATTCCCTTCAAATCGCTTTTTCTCTTGGCTGGAATACTGCTGTACACTGTTCAAGGCAGGCGAAATTTCTGACCTGGAGAGTACAAAACTATCACGGCAGACAAGTACGATAAGTTCCGATAAATTTAAGGTACTTTAAGTATTTGTATTCCCTGGAATGCAGGAGATACGCAATATACACTTTGAAAGTTCTAGATGAATTCCTACCAAACTAAAAAATCACTTCCTACGAAAGCGAAAGACTGCAGGAGATTCAACAATATTCCCCCAGTGAAAAGGAGCGTCGCCACGAGTACACAAGTGTCATGGGCCCCAAGACTGTTCAACTGCCTCCCAGCTTATACGAGGGGATTACCAATAGACCCCTGGCTGTCAAGACACTGACAGGCTCCTGAAGTCGGTACTTGACCAATCACGCTGTGGTTCTTACGTCAGTTTACGTGCGGCCAGTAGTAACTGGCTAGTTGACCAGACCTTGATCCACTACGAGGCCTGGTCTCAGACCGGACAGCGGGAGCGCAGACCCCCGAAACCCTCTCCAGGCAAGGGGTGGAAGTAATGTGGGTGCAAGCAACAAAATTAAATGATCAGACATTCAACTTCACGTTCTACACCTGCTGTGTTCAGGGAAGGTTTGGAAGGGGGGAAGGGCCCCCCTTCCCCAGTCATTACTTAAATTTTGAAGGTTTAAGCTGAAAAATCTAAGAGGTTGTTAGTGTAATGCTGGCCATGCAATTTACGTAGCTTACCAAACAGTCTTTGCCGTTGTCTGCAAGATGGGAGCCGAGGTGACAAGAGCAGTAGCTGCCTTGTGGGCTGGGATGGCACTCGTGTTGGCACCCACCGTTGTTGACACAATGTGTATCTAAAATTTATAAAAAAAATTTTAAACAATTGTTAAAGATTTAGTTCATTGTTGTGCATCTACAAAATTAGGATTAAAAATTAGTATTTCGTACGTCTTAAGTTTTCCACTTTCAAACTACCTACAACAAGCTAACAAGGTACTTGCCACAGAAGATGCCCTCGTCTGATCCGTCAAAACAGTCTGAGAAACCATTGCACAAGGAACTTTTCTCTACACACTCTCCACTGTTGCAGAGGAACATCCCGAAGCAGTCTTCTACAAGAGAGTTTACAAGTAATGTCTTCACGATTACGATTTTTAGTAACCTGCATTATCCCAACCATAATTTTAGCGAAAGGTCGAGTGAAACCACTGAGCTGCACTTTAATACACTGTTAATGTTTAGACAGTTTCAGAGATACCTACAGGTATGTCTAGCTTATAGGAAACCATAGAAGCTGAAAGGTCTAAGACCTGGGGGGGGGGGAGTAGTCTGAAGTAAAGGGAAAGTAACATAATTAGTATAAATTAGTGAGGAATCCGCGAAATTTTAACAGTACACTGAACTTTCCGAGTTTTTCTAAGTTCTTTACACTTTAAGTCTCGTGTATAATTGATAACTTTGTATGTGTACCTAAAAGGAATTTCACACAGCAGCAATCTTGTGGCTATGGGAGACAATGTGACTACTCGGGAGACGAGTTCCTGTTGCGCCAATTGTCGCCCTGCACGACCTTCCTGGTTTAGCAAAGATGCGAGCCGACATCTTTGCTAAACTAAAGACTGCTGCCAAAAATTAGGAATTTTTGACTGATTTACCAGTTCAGAAAACTAGGCAAGGTAAATTTAAGTTATGGACCAAAATATAAACTTACCCTTATTCACTTATAATTCCTAAAAAAATATATTTTAAGGCAGCATACGTACATATGCGTTAGAAAATTACGAAGCACTGGTGGGCCCCGAGTCAATGAGTGGTCGTACCTTTATTAGAACAAGTGTACTGAAGTATTAACTTTCGCTTTAGGATGGGATAAGTTTATTTCGGGTTTAAATAGAAGAAAGCTTTGGTAAAATTGAAGTGCATGATTAAAGTACTTTTTTTAAGAGTTCTAAACCTGAAGTTGTGTTACAGCGGCCGAAGACTGAAGGAAGTCAGGTTCATCCAAGTCGGGTTAAGGAGCAAACTAACAAGTTATAATATTACTACACTATGTACTGCCTGATCGTTTTTAAGTGTTATTAATAAATGTGAGAAAGGACAATCTCTTCCCCCCCCCCACCGGGGCCAGAGGTTTGTGAAAGTCACTAGTTTTAATAAATTAGTGAAAGATGGGGAGGATTAAAAAAAAAAAAGATCACCCTGAAAGTGTCTAGACAATTAAAATCAAGTGTTTAAAGATTTAACTAATAAATAGCGCTAACATTAGAATTTCAAGTATAGGTAATGGGGATTTTTTTTTTTTTTTTTTTTTTTTTACACAGCTGTGCAAAACGCTAGCAAGACCTCTTGGATTATGCCGCTCAGTTTTGGTCTCCTTACTACAGGATGGATGTAAATTTATGGGAGAACAGAAGGATGACAATCACTCTACAAGGAATCGTGAATATATTACATCCTAGAATCTTCAGACATTCAAAAAAGATATCACGTATGTGTTAAAGTGGATGATGGGCATAACTGAAGGCAATGAAATGCCGACGATGTCGAAACTGGTAAGAACCAGGAATGACTAATTTAAGTTAGAAAGGACAAGTACTGGCTTTGAAACAGTGGATGCGTGAACAATCTTCCGATAAGGGTAAGAGGCTAGGACCCTGGGTACCTTTAAAAAGCATCAACAAATATACGAGTGGAGGGGCTGGGTTTGATTGGTCATGGGTATGGGGGGTAAATTCTTGGGTAGCTTCAGGAAGGGGGGTTTTGACAACGGGCTGTCAGTATGGGCCAGTAGACCTTCTGCAGTGTTATGTTCTTTAGAGTATTTTTTTTAGAAGTTTTCCAGCATCCTAAGAACACTGCCACATACCTAGTATTTCTGCGAAAGGTTCAGTTCCAGCAGATACACTTGTGCTGGTCTCTGTGCCTCCACATCTTATGTAGTCTTCGTCAGAGCCATCTTCACAGTCATTCTCGCCATCACACAAGAAACTGGAGGGGGGGGGAGGGGGGGTATGGTAAGTGTCTGAATAAAGTGGAGCAAGACTACGGAAATTTAAAATTCAAGGTTTAGAACTTACGTGTTGGGTATACATCTGTCCGAGTGCCGGCAGTGATACTCAGTGTCGTGGCACTCTGAACACTCTTCGTCATCCTTCAATGGGCAATCCACCTCGCCATTACACCTAGAGGAATTTACTGTTAGGTAATGAAACTAGTTTTTAAACAACCTAAGTCTAAAGGGAAGGGATATTGCTTAAGAATTAAGATTTTGAACAGTTAATCTTTATTGGTGACTAACGTAATGTCACGTTTATTAAAACGTAAAGACTAAACACCCGGGACCCGTCAACACTCCCAGTAATAGCCACCCCAGGAGACTCCAAAAAAACAAGGCGTACATTAGAGAACCTAAACGACCAGTTAAACGACTACTGCGTGTGTAGACTGGAGGCGGCTCAACATTGAGGGAGCCGCTTCCTCTGTTTAAGCCCACCAAAATATAAAGGCATCCGATAAAACTAACTTGCCCAGCTGGAAGGGAGGAATCTGCGATCGAGCTCAGTTTTATACCTGGGGTAAACGCCCCCACGGTCCGGTCTGACCAGGCAGCAAGGAAATGGTACGTTGCCCAGCCATTTGAATCTTATACCCCCACCCCCCCTTCCCCAGCAAGTGTTCTAAATCTAGCTTTGTCTAGAAAGCTAGACTAGGTGCAGAATAAATTCACATTCTGATAATTCGTTGCCACTAAAATTCAAATTCTTACTTCATACATAATGACATTACCACAAGGAAAAGCAAATTTACGAGTTATAAGGGGAAGTCAACCTATTTGAAAACTATGGCAAGCACCCTGTGGGGGAGGAAATTTCGTACATTAAATACTTGGACCTTCAAGGCTTGACACTAGTCTTTTTTTTAAGTTTATTGGAGAGGGGAGGGGGCTGCCTTCTTTTCCCATACTTGTGGACAATTAATTCAGCTTTCCAAAGAACCTTTCAAGACAGTTCTAGGTTCCAAACTTACACGTGTGTATGGGGTATGCAGACAAGTTCTGTTTCAGGAACTTCTTTCTTGCAGGCAGAGAATCCATTAGGGCAGACCGGGGAAGTGCCAGACGGGGTGGTACTGGTACAACTGGGAAGTCTCTCGTCAGAACCATCGCCACAGTCATCATCACCGTCGCAGGTATCCTTCAAGGGCACGCACCGTAGGTTGTGGCACGTAAATTGACCAATACCACATTTTTCTAGGGAATAAAGTTAGTAATTACTGAAATAGTCAATTTCATTAACTTGGAGCTTTTAACTTTAGGCTCCAAAAAGTTAAACTAAATTTGATCACTTAAGCCTTTGCTTAAGTGATAAGTAAAGTGATTAATGCTTAAGCGTGTGCTAGTGCCTGGATGGTTGATCTGCACTAACTAGGCAAGGTTTGTGATTAAAACAGTTTCCTGACGCGGGTCTCCTATTACGACCCGCAGTTGGAGCTTTTAGTCATCTGACGAAAGGCCTTCCGTCGGCTTACCAGTTCACCTTTAAATTAGTTTTAAGAGAACAAGAGGCAGACTAGGTACAAGAGTACTTAAGAAAATTTAAGCATAGAAAAATCATGGCCTCATTTGAAAGTGCCACAGGTTCATTTTTTGTTCCAGAAAACCATAGTAATTTGCATTAATCCCACGAAAATATTAGTTTAAGATCTGTCCTAAACCATACCTGACATTACAAACTGAGAAGGTTCCTACACAATACTTAACTAAAAGTTGGAGAAAATGCTAAACCAGGTGTGAAATTTCTGCACCAGCAATAAAGCGCAACAGTTAATCTTAAGATTTTATCCCCGTACAGATATACCGCATTTTTCTTGACCCTCCAACAAGGATGGAGGGAGAAACTATTCAAGTGCTTTATTAAATACCTGCACAGCCTGCCTCGTCGCTGCCGTCCTGGCAGTCGGCATCACCATCGCACCTCCACTTGTCAGGGATACAGTCACCTACACAAAATAAGTGGTTAGGCATCCGAGAAGTCTTACCCAGGTTACGTATTGTCTGGAGAAATTTTTTCCAAAAAGTTAAAAAAGTTCTGAAAAACCAAGATTTAAATATCTTCACATTTACCCATCACCCCCCCCCCACCCCCCGCATTTAATCTTACATTAAGACTACACAAATAACCCGCACATAGAAGTGTGACTTTGTAAATGGTCCAAGTTGGACCGAAATAGTCGTAAGCTTCTCTCTATGTGCGGGCTATTTGTGTATAGTTCCGGTCACTATTGTGGCTTTTGTTATTTACATGAAGACAATGTTCTGTCTACCTTTGGCCTTGCAAAAGTATTGAAAGACTTTCAAATTCTACGAAATTTTATACTTTCCTGACAATTGTGTCCTAGCACTATAGTAACGTACCATTTTGGCAGGTAAATTTATTTGGCTGGCAGGTTGAGGAGCAGTTGAGCTCGTCTGAACCGTCTCTACACTCTGCTATTTTGTCACAAACCCACATGAAGGGAATGCACTCTCCTGACGTGCACTGCCACTGACCTGAAGAACGGTGCAGGAACTAGCTAAGTTGGTATCAAGATATAAAGGTTAAATTAACCAAATTCAGAGGGAAAGCGAAGGAGCTACAAGAAGCATTAAAAATTTATTTTCTGCAGGTGTCTAATCCGTGTAGTCATGCCAATAACAATAAGAAAGGGGCAAGTAGTCAGTTTTAAAAAATTATAAAGCGTTATCAGTAGTTATGTCTAAAGCTAGATCTTACAGCAAGCTTACCAGCGCAAGTTTGTTTGCTACACTCTGGCAACTTCTCGTCTCCTCCGTCGTAGCAGTCATTCATTCCATCACATTTCCAATCGCCTGAGATACAAGCTCCAGATGTACAGCGGAACTCTGTAGAACTACAGATCCTCTCTTTCTCGCATTCTAACTCATCTTCTCCACTGTGACAATCTGGAACTCCGTCGCATCTACAAGATTTACATTTCAATGCAGATTAATACCAAGGTATCAGGATACATAAATTTATTATCAAACGCCCTACTGTTCATGCGTTTCCATAACCTAACACGAAAGTAAGCTTAAAAATTTAATGAAGATTTAGTTTAAATACTAAAACTAAAAATTTTTTAATGTTTGTCACATTAAAAAGTAAAATCCCATATTCCAGGAAAATCGTGTTAAACATCAACCATGATTGTGCGAAAGTTAGGAAAATTTATAGGCAGTTTTTTTTCAAGCCTATTGGGAGTAGTTCAGACCTGCGAGTTTAGCTAAATAAACTAGTACACTTGGCTAATAACTCCCAGAACTGTTACACGTGCATTAAGTTTAACCCTAGCATTATTTTAAGAAGTCATAAGTTATTCTGAAGAATTAGACATTACTACCATGCCACTCACCTCCAGGGAAATGGGATGCAGGTGTTAGAGGCAGCACATTTGAAGAGATGATCAGAGCAACTTACTGGGCTGCAGCTCAAGTTGTCATGATCCAAGACGAAGCCATATTCACATATACACACCTGGAAAGTTTGGGCTATTAAAAGTAAAATTCATAATCTTATTATTTGTGAAGCAGAAGTATAGAAAGTTATAATAAAATGCAAGTTTTCGAAGTCTTCAAATTTACAAGTAAACTTTCATCGTTCAACTGAAAGGGCAATTCTACAGTAATTTTCAGATCTTCGGCATTTATCAATTACATATCGCTGTAGTACTAGACACGGAGGGGGTTATAACTGCAGTCCCCAAAGTCTGCACATTCCTAGAATGAAACTTTCTGCAACGTTGTTTCTGCAGGGCAGAATACTACCAATGTTTAAGGGTAGAGGCTGGTGTAACCCTCCAGAATGTTTTCGTGTAGGATACAGCCACAAGAATAAAATTTATAATGGCAACAAAATCTGAAATTTAGGAGATTTCAACGAGTATTGCAAATAAACCATACCACGGTCGGGGGACTGAACTCGAGAAGTGTTCAATCCCCGCCTGTGGTATGGTTTTAGTATAACCTGCATCAATTATCACCCTCCTGAACTACAGGGGAATTGGTAGACCACAACTTTCAAAGCTGCATCAAGACATTAAACTTTTCTGAATACCAGTTGTAGCTCGGCAGCAGCTTAAAGCAGCGGTTCGGTACATACTAGTTCCAAGCTGGCTTTGATAATCCCCACAACGCTGCCAAATTGAGCAAGTATTAGTCAAGTTTGCCCCGTAAAAACTACTAGGCTGGAGGTAGTGGAGACTAATGTGCTTCTTATGTTCTTATGTGTAGTTTAGATATGAAGGGGTGAGGGGGTTACTAACTGGACTAATTCTGGAGGTGGGAAGTACAATCTGTACTAGAGGGGTGGCGATATTGCAGTTAGGAGGAGCATCCAAAATTCCCTGTCTGCACGCCTCTGGCTTTATTTTTACTTTAGCCCCCTCCCCTTCCAGTCATCCAACCTTTGCGAGACTTATAAAATGCGTCAACACTTAATAGCTCTAATGCCATCTAGGGCAACATCGACGAGACAAGACTAAATTCTTGTAACACGAGAAGGTAGACTTTTCTGCAATACGACAGCAAACTCTTGCCCATTATTAGCTCTCAACGCCCAAAACCAGGGGGCGACGGTGTTTAAAGACGCTGGTCAAAGGAATGGTGTGCAATATAGAAAAATTACAGTTCATTTAAAGTAAGTTTCGCCACGAGTTGCTTCAGTCCTGAAGAAACTAGTGGCGAAACTAGTCTTTAATAATGTCCTGAACTTTTTTTTTTTCCCCCACATCTTGGTCTGCATCACCATACCATGCTTCATGCCATACCTCACCTTTTCACTAGTCGAGTTTGCTACACAAAGCTGAGAGCAGTTGCCATTGTTGCTGCGGCACGCAGGGTTGTCTGCCAACACAGACGCTGGAATCTTCCAACCGATTTCAGTCAACTTCAGTCCTTTGGAGACCCTGAAGCCTAGCCCTAAAAGAGGACATTTAGGATTACCAAAAAGAACAATGTCAGGAATGCAGAGTATCTCAGCTTTATAGCAAATTAGTAATTAATGCTTAAATTTAATCTTGGGAAGGGGGGGGGTGAAGTTATTACCACGTACCGAGGGCGTCACTTTTCAGGAGGGTCAGGTTCACTTTCAGTACAGAAAAGATTGAATCATCTTGTCCTGTTGACCACATCAAGTGCATGCTTGTAGCCATAACTGAAACCGGCCCCGTGGAAGCTTGACTCCTTATAGACACTAGTTCCTGGCGAGCTGAACCATCAGCAGCAGTGCTTTCTATGGTCTTTTTGTAGAAGTCAACCCAGTAGAGTTTTCCTGAGGGGGCAAAGAGGGGAAGGCTGAGGAAACTTTTCTAAATATGCATGTTATGTTACTAAAATATTTGAGAGACTCGGCCAACTGAAAATTATGATCTTACTAATGTCCGGGTCTCTGTCAAAGACCAGAGAGACTGGAGAGATTATGTTATCTGTTACAATCTCCTGGCAGTTAGACCCATCCAGACCACAACTCATAATGTATCCCTCGTACACGTTTTTGTTACCACAGACGTACAGCAGCCTGGAAATAAAGTAAGGTTTTATAGTTATATTATCAAGGCGCTGTGAGCATCAGGTTTAATGTTCATTGAACATTTAAAGATCCTTACCCAAGCAAAGGTGCAACAGCCACGTCTGATGGAAAGAGAAGATCTTTCACAGCTAAAGTGCGGTGCAAGACTGCTCCTGTTTGTAGTCTCGCCATCTCTACAGCCTTCTTGCCATCCACCCAGTACAAATTACTCCGTAGCCAGTCTGTTCGGGAGAGCAGGTTAACTTACGACTGAAACTAGCCAAGTTGAATCTTCAGAATTTTTTCCAGATAATGCCACCTGCAGCTATTGCAGTTAGCTGTAGTAAGATCACTACAAGCACAGCAGGCGCACCTACTTAACTTTATCCGGAATGTCAAGTACCAGTAACGGGAGTTTGCACCTTGCTAGTCTTAAACGTGTAATATTGAAAAAAAGCATAAAAGTAGCTTGCTGCAACTGTTTAGAATGTTTAACATGGAACTTAGTTTTAAAAAATTAAGGATAATCCCAGATGTGAAGACTAGGAAAGGGTGTGAGGTAGAGGAGGGGGGGGGTGTGGGCGTCTTCACAAGTCTGCAGTTTAAATCTTAGAGCCAAGTATAATACAGTAAGGTTTAAAACAAAGGGGGGGGGGCAGAAAAAAAATATTAACGTTAACAGCTATCACTTACCTACAGCCAAGCCAACTGCTCTCGTGTTTTTTACGAGAACACTGAAGATTCCAGTATCCACAGAGACTCCATAGATAACTTCATTGTAAATGTCGCTCACCACAACCATCTCTGCAAGAAACCAGACTTGCAAGTTCTGTTACCTCTAATACCATCCCAAAAGCCAAAGGGAAAATTAGCAGGGATGGGGGAAATTAATTTCTACAGTTATTTTTCTGGAAGGTGTAGCTCTTTAAATTCTACTTTTAGTAATTAGACAAAATTGGTTACGTAAAACTAGGAGCAGCTGGGGGGTGGGGGATTGTGGCAGTGAACGATAGCAACTGCCCAGCACAACATGTAATACCCATGCAGTGTAAACTATAGACCGTGTATTTAGTTCACAACCTCAGTCTAAATTAGATTTGATATAGACTTAAGCTGCTAACGAGTTGATCAAGACTGGTTCAAGTGTAATTTGAAAACCCATTCCACTGGTTTCTTGTAGAAGGCAAGTAGTGCACTAGGTTAGGCATCAACTGATATGGCGTGATCTCTCAATTGATAGTTAACCGCTTTTCAGTCTGGCATAATTCACTTCTGGGGAGGGGGGGGGGGAGTTAAGACCTATGAATTCATTCTTCATGGAATTAAGCTAGTTGCATGAAGCAACAAAACTCACCCACGATATTAACAGCAACAAGCCATTAAAGTTAAAATATAGTGTCATGCCAGTAGGAAATTAAATTTCTGGAGTTAGTACAAGCAGAGCCAACCACGAACATGAAAACAGTGCAAAGTTATGAGGGCAGTCAGGTCAGCACCGATGTTGCTACTGTACGTTGTTGCCACGAAACAAGTGGGCACTTGAGCACTTCCACAGGATTACAGGTGGTGACTGGTACCTCAGACAAGCGTTAGTGGTGAGATGTGGAGGGGGCAGAAGAAATCGTCTGTTTGAAAACAGTGTTAACCGACACTGAGCAGTGCAAGTTTCTTCCTGAGGACCACTTTTCCAAAATCGGAGCAGAATTTCTCGGGAAGGTTCAGCCATAGCCTCTACTAGAGGTACTTGCAGCATTCTAATAGTAACAGGCAATAACCAAGAAAGATGGTACTTACTTTGCCGTGCAGTTACCTTCAGTAGTACAGAACCACTGAATACCAGATTCCCTCCCCATACCCTATTAAAATTAGGAAACTGAAATTTTAGGGAACCTGCCATGAAGATTAAAAAAATTGGGCCGAAGGGGAAGGGTAGGCTTCTTGGGTATTAAGAATTTTGCCACCAAAGCGGAACATTTTCTCTTGCAGATTCTACACTTAATGTTTTCAACAATTTGTAATCCTCTATAGGTTAAGCATTCAGAGTAAAAAATGCTCAGTTTAGGAAAAAAAATTCTAAACTTACTATGCAGAATCTCTTTAGCAAGATAAAGGCAGCGCCTTTGTTGTACAACAGTACATGTGAACGCCATCTTCAAAAACTAAATTTCTTCCCTTCCTAGCACAGGACAAACTCCTAGTGACCTATTTCTGACTGGGTTAGAGGTAACCTAAAGGACCTGGGTTCAGTTAAATATCACTTTTGGAACCATTCACATGTAGCATTTAACTTTTGTGAACTAACTTCACTTGCATCACTGGTATGTTGCAGCCAATGTCACTTACCTAACGTGGGTTCGTAGTTGAAGTCGCCGATGGAAGTTAACCTAGTGTCGTAGTCCCACTCGTTCACAGTAAGACGACCATACACACGAGGAAATATTTTGAACATTCTGCTTTCAGTCGCCGCGAGTGTGTACACCAAGTAGTCCTCATCTAATGAACATAATTTAGGTTAAACTTTAGTTATAAATTATAATTCTGTGGCTTCACGTGCAGAAGGATGCAACTGCAGTAACTAGAGGAACTTGCCTAAACATGTTCGCTGGTCTGGTCCTAGTTTCATTACGTAGGCGGGGCAGGCGCAGGAGTAGCCTGAAGGTGTGGTGGGAGACAGCAGGCACAAGTGGCTACAAGGGTTTTGACTACACGGATTTGGGCCCTGTTAAGTATAGCCATAATTATAAATCCAAATAATTGCTCAAGTCATTTTTGCAATACAAGAAGAGTTGTGGTTGAAATTAAACCAAGACCTTATGTAAATTAAATACAACTTAAAAAATTTACATGCAAAATGTTCTGCAACTTTGCAAAACAAATAACCACGTTACTGTTTTAAAGTCAGTATTTAATACTTTAAATTGCTACTTTAAAAACTTAGTTTAGGGTTAATTTTTTCTAAAGCTTCCTATTCCTCCCAGTTCTAGGTACGTTAACTTTTACTTAACATTTAATTACTACACTAACAGGTTTATAATTAACATTTAGAAGGAACACTGCATTAAGCTTGTCAGACCCACCTGGTATAACATTTCAGGATGGTATATAATCAAACCGTAATATTTGTGATCAACGCTGCCCTTAATGACCGTGCGCAAGTGCTTTCCGGTTCTCTTCAGACCGGAGCGGATGTGGTCATGGTTCCAATCTGTCCAGTACAAGTACTGGTTCCACACTCCCAGGGCAAAGGGATGATTCACCGGAGCTTCCAGCAAATGCTGCAGAAGTCAAGAAGAGTAGCCACGATTAAGAGTATTGTTTATGTAGACGTTTAACAAAGATGAATAAAACTAGCAGTGGAATGTTATTTAATCCGATAGTTAAGCAATCGTAGCTACTGCAGGTGGTTTTAGAATAATTAGGATATAAAATACAGTAGTTCATGATTTAGATAATGCAGTCAGTACTGTTAACATACGATTTTTTTTTAATTTAGTGTCCTAGCATAATACCTATTTCATTGTCAAAATTTTACCGTCAATAACTTATGAGAACTAACAGTCCAGAATGGTAGGAAGCGGGCCGAAGTGCCATTCCTTTCAAGTCACTAAACTTAATTTAGCCTGAACTTCCAGACACTGGAAACCTAAACTTTTGCAAACAATTATCCGGAATGAGGGTGCGGTTTAACCCGTGGTAAGTAAAGACTGGAAATTATTACAAGCATGGGGGAATAAACACTAGACAGCCAGCAGCCGAGTGAATTAGCGCACAGACACTAAGGCTAGCTTGTCATGGGTTCACTTCACCTATTCCGGGGATTATTCCCGCTAAGAATATGGACTATTGCAGATTCTTCCTCTGGTGGAATATTACCTCAGTAAATTTGAAGTACTGTTCAAAGAATATTCATCTGAAAACTAAATACTTAAATTCCATTAATTTTCTTTCCTTAGTGGAAATTTATATTAACTTTTATATTTTTTTTAAAACTATTACAAGATGCAATATAAAGATACCATGAAATGGTACACGTATGACAGAACATTCAATACTAAGACTACAACGGTCCACTTACTGAACATACAAAATTACCTTTAGATAGCCTAACAACCTACAACCTACAATCTACCTAGAAACTGTTACATAATCACAAAGATAATACACCGATGCTAAACCGACTTCCCACAATCCCCACAATCCCCACCCGCCCCTCTACAAGTTGAAACCCTGGCCACTCACGTGGTTAAACACTATCAATATTAAAAATTAAACAAGTTCTCAGCCATTCACATGTGGTTAAACACTATCAATATTAATTTCTCCCCCCCCCCCCCACAGCAATGAAATGCACCTGGGATAAATGCAACTCAAAATGTAGTTAACACTGAATTCCTGGTGTTAAACAGTTACCAACTTTTATACCCACTAAGCACTAATTTACTACCACGAAGCAATTGTGCAGTGTCACAGCACCTCTCAAACAAAAGTTGTACAGTGATCAAGTTTAACTTGGGTGCAAAATAAAACCACACTGCGCTAAGCCCGAGATCAAGATTTAGTTATCATGGTTTAAAGATTATCCTGTACTCAGGGAACATAACTATAGGTTGTCTACTTAATCGTGCATCTCCTTCCCCCACCATTCATAGCCCTCCCACCATTCACACAACAAAGTAGCCTAACCGACACAACCCTCATACATCCCCCGGTAGGAGACCAACCCTTTGCCCGCCCCCTGGGTTCACGAGGAGGCCATCCACAGAGATTCCGGTAACCCTCCGAGAAGCTAGTTACCTACCGCCCCCCATACTTATTCCTACACATCGTTCTGTTAAACCTCGCTGCTAATGCTTTTATTCTCAACTCTCCCCGGACCTCCCTCATCCCCCAAGATACATGTAAATAATCAGTCATGACATACATTAAAGCCCTACCCACATCACCCAGCACCCAGTTACATCCAACAATAAAGCCCTTAGGAACGGCCATTCTCCCCCCCCCCTAAAAGACTGATAACGCGCACCACCCATAATCTCACCCCCTCCAAAGAGGGACAAAAATATACAGCATGAAAAGCAGTTTCGGTGTCCCCACAGTGCAAGCTTGAGGCCTCTTAAGACTCATTTTACATAACATATCCTTAGAGGCCAAATTTCCCCATTAGAAAACTATACTAACTCCCGTACCCCCGCAGGTATTCTAAGCAAGCCAAACTCCCTCCAAATGCTCTTCCAGTCCTATGTCTGATATACAGCAAGCCCCTGTAAGACACCCTTACCCACCACAGCACCCACCATCCTTTTGACCTTTAATTTGGACACCTGTCCTACATTCAATTAAACCCTCAACATGTTTTCACAAAACCTCAAATCCCTTCCACACCACCATCTTCGTGCATCCTCCATTGCCCTACCCACCCTGACTCTCCGGTCCCCCCCAGTCCTAATATACCTTTGTTTAATATATGAAGCCATTACTCTGACCCAATGCCATCAGGCGAAGACCCCCACGTCTCGCATCCATCATTACCACGTCCTTGCGCAACCATGCCCTCCCAAACCCCCCCCCCCACACACATACCTTAGAACCCTCTGGATTTCCGCAATATCCAGTACTCTTAAAGGGAACACTCCCGCCACCCCCACACCCGACTGTAAACAAGAGAGTTAACCACCAAAACTGTTGTAATGTTACATCCCTAGCCCTTAAGCCTCCAAGCCTACCCAAAACCCTGCCTGTAACTAATTCTGAATTTATCTTCCTACATTCTTGCACCTCCGCCATGTACCATACTCCACAAACCCTAATTCTGTCCACTACTGACCATCCCAACCCCTCCAAGCTCCCACCAATCCAATCCCCCACCTCTAATAGTCTACTTCATTAAATTAACTCATACCCGTAGCATCCCCAAACATCTGAATGACTACCAACCTTCCTTAGATCTTCCTCATGCATTACAAGAACTGTAGCATCATGCACGTACCCAACAATACCCCCCCCCCGTCCACCCCCCATCGTCCCCTGTCCATTCATCACCTCATCCACTAGCCTATAAAACCGATTCTGCACGCAGGCAAATAGTAACAGTGGACAACCCTCCTCAAACCTCTCCATCAGTACCGGGTCTCCCAACTTACCATTAACCTGTACCCGAACAACTGCTCCCTCATACAAGGTTTGCACCCATCTCACCACCCTCCCCCCTCATACCCAACTTCTCCAAGCAAACTTAAGAAATCCCTGTTCACACAATCATACGCATTAGCCCAGTCTAAACCGAGTATTCCCCCTCCGGTGCAGCTCAATAAATTCCCTTATGTGACTGCCCATCCCTCATACTTCTTCCCGGGATGCCATACTGGCCCCATGTATTACTGATCCTAGAACCTTGTCTATTGCTCAGAATTTTAGCATAAATTTTATAATCGGCACACATTAAGGATATCGCTCTATAATCACTCGGTACTTTCCCTTCCTTTTTCGGCACTAACGCAACGATCCCGGTTTTGTGTGTTTTCCCCATCCTCCCACTGCTCCACATAATTCAAGACTTCCACTAAACCATGCCTAATACACTCAAACTATAAAAATCATTCGGTATTCCATCAATGCCCGGCGTCTTACCCTGACATCCCGTAAACCGCCGCCTCCTCCACCTCATTGTTCCTGTTGTCCTAATACAATATTACTCTGCATATCCCCAAATACCTCCTCACTGGCATCTACTCTGTTCCTCCTCCATTTCTCCCTAAACCAATAATCTGCATAAACACTAATGCTGTCCGTTTCGGTAAGGCCTTGACCCTCCACAACCTCCCCCCCCCAGCAGCGACCACTAGATGCACTATGGTAGTCACCATCTGCCTTTCCTTAAATTTTCTCAGGACATAACCTGATGGTTGATCACCCTTTAACACCACCTCTAACCCCGCTCTAATTGCGTTAAACCTTTCATTATGTAACTCTGCAATCTGACACCTTAAACCATCCACATCCCCTCTATACCTTCCCTACCCCCCTCCCCCCGTCGTAAAACTTATTCAGTTGTCCCTCCAGATAGTTTTGCAAACCATACCACCACCGTGCCTGTTCCCTGCCACGTGCCCTGAAAAACTATTCCTATCTTAGCCCTCACCTCCCACCAGTCAAGCAAATACATCTCACCATCCCTACCATCCCAGAAATGTGTCCATTCCTCGAAGGAAGAGCCAACACCCCCCTCCTGCAGAAGCCTCACATTCAATTTCCAATACCCAGCATATATGCGTACTCTACCATCCACCCGCAGATCAGCTATCACCGCCCTGTGATCCGGAAAAAGCGACATCGAAAGCCCTCGCCCTCTCCTCACCTATCCCCTGCATCACACACATCCTATCTAACCTCGCCTCATAACCCCCACGACTAAACGTGTGCTCCACCCCATACTCCCCACCACATCCACAACTACATCCCTTAACACGTCCCTTAAAGCACCCAAGACACATCCTGCCATCAGGCCCTGATCCATCAGGAGGCCTTGTCATGGACAGGGCCGTGGGGGCGTTGATCCCAGGAATAACCTCCAGGTAACCTCGGTGAGTCATCCCCATACCCAATCACACAGTTCCAATCACCTCCAAGTAGTTATGGAAGGTAAACCCCGCAAATAAATCAAAAAGGACAAAATCGACTTTCACCCTAACATTGCTGCATGCCGGCATGTAAACACCAATGAAACTCTCCACCCCCCCAGTACCCATCTACCCTTACGACCCTCCCCCCAACCCATGATGCGCAGTGGGCTGGTCTCCTTTACAGCCACTGCCACCCCTCCTTTTAATTGCAAAGCATTACTGACAAATATAACCTAACTCTGCAAACGCAATTCACACCCTAACCTATGGTTATGCTCCTGTAAAAAGCATACGTCTACATCAAACCTTCGTAAAAACCATTCTAACCAAACCTTTTACCTCAGATTTAAGACCATTTACATTTATTGTGACACTAACTTCCCAGGAAAGGCAGCTTACCCCTAAGCCGTTGTGGCTTACTCAATTCCCCTTTCATGGTACCCGTACCATTTTTATCATTCTTCCTAACCTGTCCACCAACCCCCCCCTTGCCCTCCCCCACCGAGCTTCTCTGGTACACCCCCTCCCCTGCTTGCCTTTTCCCCCCACAGCTACCCACGACTTCTTCCCTGGTCTCTGTCCTGGTGTTAAAACCTCATCGATGTCCAAGGCACCCGCAGTCAGTTTGCGTGAGGGCGCTCACATCCACCTCATGCGAGTCCTCCTGATGGACTTCCACCACCACTTCCCTGTCCTACCTGTCATTCCTAGAGTCCTCCACCTGCCCCTGCTGCCCTTCCAGTGGCTGCACCTCACGTAACCTCGGGTCCGTCCTCCCCGTCCTCTGGCACATCCAAGAACTCCTGCAGCACTGCTTCCAACATCCTCTCCTGGGTACTCTTCCACGTCCACCCATCCCTCAGGCGTCTGGGAGCTCTTCCCCCTGTCACCTCCGGGACGGTAACACGTCCCCCAACACCTCTTCCACCTTGTCCACCTCACTCCAGAGATTAGTCTTCTGTCCATCCACAACCTCCAACTCCACATCCATCCTAGGGGCTTGCCTTCGAGTACACTGCGCCGCCATATGCTCGTAATCACAATCTAAGTTTTCCTCTGCCCCGCATAGTGTACGAATACCTGGGTCCTATAGCCTGTCAGTGTAACATACGAGGGTATTGGCCGCCTTAATAACATCTTCAGGGTGTAGGACCCCTCGGGCAGCCCTGCATATGGACCGTCCCTCCACACCCCCATACTAGCCGTATGATCAGTTCCATAACTGCTGAAGGCTTCCTGAACTCGATACGACGTTGCCTCAAAGGGTACATTACTTACCTTTACCCCATGTGTAATATTTCGAGACATCATGTAGACACCTACTGTTGAATTCACGCTCATCCACCTTCCCTGAAATTCATCCACAATCCTGGCATAAAAGCCGGTTCTTGTGAACTTCACAAGAACCCTCGACATTCCATTAAGGGCTACACCGTACAATTCATCGTTCGGTATCCCGTAGACGTCCCTAATTATGGCCGGTAACAGTACATGCATTGTCGCACTGCTTAATGTTCCTTGAACCAATTCAATACAGACAGTATTCACTCTCCGGCTGATAGGATCCGCCATGTTGGTGCCCAAGTCAAGCAGGCACCACCAGGTGGCGTGTATGGAGACAAGAAGCGTCCTCTTACCAGTGGTCGAGAGACGAATATATATTAACTATTGTGCGTTTATCAAGAGGATATCTTGAAAGTTGGTCGTCTAGAGAACAAGTCATTCTATTCAGCGAGGACCAATAAACTAGCACATTGCTAGAACATTAGGAAGATACATGAAAATTATACAAATCATAGGTCAACCATCCAGAATACACTTACCTTGCGGTCAGTGCCATCTGTCTTTATGCTGAAGGCATTATCCATCCTGGCATCCAACCAGTAGAGACGTTCAGCTGGCTGGTCCAGTGCCAGAGCATTTGGCCAGTGTAAACCAGTGACTAAATTAATCCTGTCGGAGCCATCCATACCAGCTTTCCCTATAAGGGAAAGTTGCACGTCTGTCCAGTACATGTACCTGTTGGTAGGAAAGGTTTGAAGACATTTCTACAGTATAGTCTAGGTACAAAAACCTAGATGCCTAATGTTTTGGTTTCCCGTTACAAAAATCTGGAGATTAAGATAATCGTAAAGCATTTCATTCGTCATTGAAAAATATATATACCTAGTTGGATGAATCTTATTGTGGCTAACTGGACGGTCTGGAGTTTTGAGACTGATCGCGGGTTGTATCCCCCGCCCGTGGTATGGTTTGTTTGCAATCGTGTCATTATTTCGCGAGTCATGTTGACTGCTTTGAGGGGACCTGACCGAGGCACAGCCGGTCGTAATTGCCCAAGTTAACTTCTACAACAGCTAGAAAATTACCATAAGACTTATTCCTCTGGATTTTTTTTTTTTTTTTTTTTTTTTTTTTTTTTTTACAATTAAAGACTTTGTTCATTATAAACTAGTATTTCACAAGTACTTTCGTTTATAAGCACCGGACCATGTGCATCAAATTCCTATTACAAAATAGTCTCAGTCTACTAAATTTACGTTAACAGTAACTCATTACGATGTTACTTTTTGAATGACATTTCGATGGCCGTAAGAACGACATTAGTAAGAACATAAGGAACACTGCAACAGGCCTACTGACCCATGTGGAGCAGGTCCATGTCCCCCCCCGGATAAGCCCAATGACCCACCCAGTCTGGTCACCTCCACTCAAGGAGCACGGCACCAGACCCAGCAGCACAAGCTAGTAAGGTCCAACTCTCACCCACATGTATTTAACCTATTTTAGCCTCAACTACTCGGGAGTTTGTTCCACTCATCCACAACTCTTACCAAACCATCACTTTCCTATATCCTTCCTGAATTTGAATTTTTCCAACTTAAAACCATTGCTACAAGTCCTGTCTTAGCTGGAAATTTTCAGTACGCTATTTAGATCCTTTATTCCTGTTTTCCATTTATACACCTGGATCATTATTATTATAATCAAAAGGAAGCACTAAGCCACAAGGGCTATACAGTGCTGCAGGGTAGGGAAGGAAGCGAGGGTATTGAATGGCAGAAGGGATGATCAGTAGGTTACAGAAAACAGCGGGGCAGGGGATAGTACGGGGGTAGAGGGTAGCAAGAGATTGAAGTAGAAAGGGCTGAAGGTATCAGAATGTGTGAAGTCAATCAGTTGTCAAAAAGTCAATGAGAGTCCGGATGAAAGGTGGGTCCATCAGCGAGAAAGGAAGGTAAAGAGCAGCGGAGCGAAGACGAAGACGACGACGACTGAGGTAAATTCTGCGTGTTCATTGATCGTGGGCAGTCCAACAATGTGGCTGACTGATAATGGAGCTTGGCAATTCTCAAAGGAGCAGGGCGCCTCTCCACGAGATATCCACGAGTAAGACGAGTATGGCTAATGCGAAGACGGGGAGAGTAGTCTCTCCACCTCGACACTGGTGATAAGAAGACTGCAAGTAACCTATACTCGGTTTAATAGATTGAAGTTTGTTGCCGAGCATAGTAGACCAACGTTGTTGCCAATGGGTATGAAGGTGGGAAGATATTGCAGCAAAATAGTATGTAAATGGAATACCTCTGAAACTGGTAGGTCATGTACTGTTGACTGTGCAGCAGTCTGCCTGTTCATTGCCCTGTATGTCAACATGACCAGGGACCCAACAAAAAACATCTTTATGCTTGGTAAAGATGCGGCGTAGCCAAAGTTGGATACGGAGGACTAAGGGGGTGAGGTGTATCAAATTTCTATATAGCCTGTAAAGCACTAAGGGAGTCCGAGACAACCACAAATGACACAGGCATAGATGCAATACGGATAAGTGCTGCAAGGATGGCATACAATTCAGCAGTAAAAATACTAGCCGAAGAGAGTAAATGCCCGCGTACGACACTGGAAACTGCTGCGAATCCTATGCCGTCAGAAGACAGAGCCATCTGTATACACAGTAATGGCACGAGGAGTGGAAGTGGTAAAGAAAAAGAGCGGGAAGCTACCATAGATAGTTGGGCTTTCGAGCAAGGGAGACAAAGAACAGACTAACAGCTGGAACTTCCCAGGGGGGTAGGGAAAAGTGAGATGCCACATGAACATAGAAAGGTGGTAATTGAAGAGAAGACAAGAGTGAATGAAGGCGAAGAGAAGGGACGGAGTAAACAGGGGCGGCAAACAAATAAGAGTCTACTAATATCAGTGACCATTCTATAAATGGAAGGATTGCGGAGATCATGAGAGCGTACATAGTAGCGAAGGCAATGGGCATCACGGCGATCGGATAAGGATGGAACGTTCGCTTCTGCACAGAGGCTCTCGACAGGGGAAGAGCAAAACGCACCAAGGCATAAACGTAATCCTTGGTGATGAATGGGGGTTAAGGCTAGAGTAGCAGGAGATGCCGCTGAATAGATCTGGTCACCATAATCAAGTATCGATGAAATGAGGGTGGAATGTAGGCGAAGGAGGGTTCGACGATCAGCTCTCCATGAAAGATGAGCAAGGGTTTTAAGAAGGTTCAGCCGGCTGTGACAAGTTGCCTTCAGAGAGGTAATGTGAGGTTCCCAGGATAACCTATGGTCAAAGAGGAGGCCCAGAAACTATCACGTTCAGGGATACAGGAGCCATAGAGGTACAAAGGATGATCGGAGATGACAGCGTCTAGTGAAAGTAATTTGGTGGGTTTTAGTGCTGGAAAATTTAAACCCATGTGTGGTGGCCTAATTGGAAACACTGTCGACTGCATGCTGGAGAGGAACTAATGAGGCGACAGTCAGCGCCTGCACAGGCAATAGCGAAATCAACAGAGTGATGACCAAATATTTGATGGAAGATTAGAGGCCAAATCATTAAGCAAGGAGAAAAATTGTTGTGCTCAGAACACATCCCTGGGGGACACCTTCAGCTTGGATGAAGTCCGGGGAGAGCACATTATTAACCCAAACATGGAAATGCCTGTCAGTTAAAAAGTTCTTAAGGAAGGATGGTAGATTGCCTCGAAGGCCTAAGGAGTGGGCTTGGGCTAAAATATACCTCCAAGTTGTCATATGCCTTCTCAAGGTCAAAAAATATGGCAATAACCGAGTGGTTATCGCAAAAGCATTACGAACATACGTATCAAAGCGTAGCAAGGGGTCTATGGTAGAATGTCCCTTACGAAAGCCATATTGACGAGTGGAGAGACTTCTAGTAAATAGAAGTTTAGTGTGGTATTTAGAGGCGTTCCATCACTTTGCAAACTGCAATGGGACGATAGTGGGAGGCTTCATGTCCCGTAGTGCCTGGTTTGCGGAAAGGGAGAACAATGGCGGATTTCCACAGCTGTGGAAGAACTTGTGACCAAATAAGATTGTAAAGGCGTAATAGGACTGCAAGGGCTGACTGATGTAAATGTTGTAGCATACGAATATGAATGTCGTCGGGCCCAGCTGCCGATGATCGGCAAGCTGAGAGTGTTGCCTCCAGTTCTTGAAGTGTAAAAGGCACATTATACTGTACTCTGAGAGAAAAGTCCAAGGGTGCTAACTCTTGGAGACTGAGGAAAGAAATGAGGGGCATAGATGGAGTCTGAGAAATACGGACCAGATGATTGCCAATTTCATTGGCAACATCTAGCGAGTTTGCTATATCAACACCGGCAACCCGCAGAACAGGAGCCGGGTCTGGAGAATATTTACCACTTTTTTCCAGACTGCACTCAGAGGAAGCAGAGGTGATGGAGACAATCTCGCCAGGAAGTGCGTTTAGCATCACGGATGACAGCGAGCGATCACACGCTTCTGCTTAAAATCAAGAAGTCTCTCCGTGGTTCTATTGTACCGGTACCTGCCCCATGCAGTGCATTTCAAACGTACTGCACGACCACAAGCAGGAGACCACCAAGGCACGCATTTCTGAGAATGCCTGCCCGAAGTTTGGGGTATACAAAAACTGAGGACGAGAAGAGGTGTAAAAGCTCATCGATGGAGGACGAAGAAGGAACACCTCTAAAAACAGTTAGGTGTGAGTAAAGGTTTCAATTTGCCTGATCAAATTGCCAGCATGGGATGTGAAGAGGTGGTGAATATGAAGGGGAAGTAAAAATGATTGGGAAATGATCACTGTCATAAGTCCGGGAGAACAGACCAAGTGAAGTCTAATACGGCGGAGGAAGAGCAGACAGAGATCGATGCAAGAGTGAGCGAGGATCAAAATGGGTGCGAGTACCTGTATTTAAAACATGGAGGGGGTGGGTGGCAAGAAAAGCCTCTGAATGCCACGGGAATCACAGCGAGACCTCCCCCACAGGAAATGGTGGGCATTAAAATCGCCAAGTAACAGAATCGGTGGCAGTAATGACTAAAAGGCAATATCCGGAATAGATAATGCCCGAGAAGGAGAGAGATGTAAAGAACAGAGCGTATACCACCTATGCAAGTGGATACGGGCTGCTGTGTAATGCAGCGAAGTACGAACAAATAGCTGATGGTACGGAATATCAGTGCGTAGAAGGGCACTTTCATTAAAGGTCCCATCAGGAAAAGGATCTGAAGAATACAATAAATTATAGCCTGAGATGGGAGAGATAACAGCAGTGTAATTTTGGTTCCTGTAAGCAAACACCAACAGGGGACAACTGGGAGAGGAACATCTGAAGCTCACCCTGATTACCCGAGGCCGCGTATATTCCACTGTAGATAGGCCATGATTGGCAATGATAAAGATACTTGAAATCCGCAGGTAAGGGTTCCTACGGACTCGAGGGGTTAGAAAAGTCCACATGTGGAGGCAGTGGAAAACGTTCAAGCAGCGAAGGAATGGTGCACTGAAGAAAGGAGTTGCGCAGATGGAGCAGAGGAGAGAGAAGGAACGGAGGGTGGATCAGTGTCCATTGATGGTTTGGTCTCTGCAATATATTCAGAGATTGCTTCAAGTGTTTCGGAATTCAGAGACGTCCTATGGGAGACAATATTGGAAATGGTAGGGGGAGGATGAGTAAAGATTGGAACTAATGGACTGTACCAAGGTAGGGGGGGGGC